AGGCTTCCCTCCTCCTGAAGAATTGAAGCCTCGTCAGTGGGAAATTGATGGCTTGGTGCCTAAAGTGGATCTATCCCTCTTCCATCTGGGAAAATACAATCAAAGCCCTCTTGACAGATGGCCATCCAGCATCTGTTTCAAAGCCTCCAGAGAAGGAGACTCCACTGGACTTCTAGCCTGCCTATCTCACCCTTAAAAATACCAGGAAGTCCTTCCCAACATTTAGGTGGGATCCCTTTTCCTTCTCCAAGAAAATGCAGGGATTTATAGTTCACCTACAGTCAGAGCATTCCGAACTCTGCCAGTGATGGAATTGAACCCAAATTGGCACACACAACTTCCATGACCAACAGAAAATACTGGAAGCATTTGGTGGACTACAACTCCCAGAAAGGAAGATCATTCCCCCCCCCCCAAAAAAAAATTCTCCAGTAATCAAATTTCGGCATATCAAGTCTGTGTGCCAAGTTTGGTCCAGATCCACCAGTGTTTGATTTCACAGTGCTCTCTGGAGGTAGGTGAACTACAACTCCCCCAAATCAAGGTAAATTTCTCCCCAAAATCCTCTAGTATTTTTTGCTGGTCATATGGGTTCTGTGCCAAGTTTGGCCCCATTCCCTCTTTGGTGGAGTTCATAGTGCTCATTGATTGCAGGCGAACTATAAATCCCAGTACCTACAGCTCCACAAATGTGGCCATATCAGATATGCATGCCAAGTTGGGTCCAGATCCGTCATTGTTTGGGCTCATAGTGCGCTCAGGATATAGGTGAACTACAAGTCCTCTAAATCTCTCCAAATACCTTCAGTTTGTTTGTTGGTTATGGGGATTCTTTGTGCCAAAGTAGTTCATTTCCATCGTTGGTTGAGTTCAGAGAGAGCTTAGATAGCAGTTGAACTATACATCCCAGGACCTACAAGCCCTACTTGTACAGACCATGTTATCATTGGCATATTGGAGTTCTATAACAGATGTGGAACACCCCCCCCCCCCAAATGAGGTAAGATCCGCTCCCTCCCTCTTGGATTTTAGAAAAAAATTAAAATCTTGGTTTTGGGACCAGGTCTTTGGGCAGTAGAAGTAAATGTATGCAGCATTTCAGAAAGACAATGCCTGGAATGGCGATTCGACAGATGAGACTGTTTTATTGTTTTAATTATTGTTTTATTGCTTGTGGATGTACTGTTTTTAACTTGATTTATGTCTAATTTTAGTTTATAATTGTAATTGTTTGTATTGGCATTGAATTTTGCAATTACTTATGTGTAAATGGCTTTTAGTCCCCCTTGTGGTGAGAAAAGCAGTATATAAATACTGTAAATTAAAAAAAAGATGTTGTAGGTTGTCTTCTGAATGTGCACAGACTACATTATCATTGGCATAGTGGAGTTCTATAACATGTAGGTCTTCTGAATGTGCACAGACTACGTTATCATTAGCATATTGGAGTTCTATAACAGATGTAGGCCTTCTGAATGCGCACAGACTACATTATCATTGGCATATTGGAGTTCTATAACATGTAGGTCTTCTGAATGCGCACAGACTATGTTATCATTGGCATATTGGAGTTCTATAACATGTAGGTCTTCTGAATGCGCACAGACTACATTATCATTGGTATATTAGAGTTCTATAACATGTAGGTCTTCTGAATGCACACAGACTACATTATCATTGGCATATTGGAGTTCTATAACATGTAGGTCTTCTGAATGCGCACAGACTATGTTATCATTGGCATATTGGAGTTCTATAACATGTAGGTCTTCTGAATGCGCACAGACTACGTTCTCATTGGCATATTGGAGTTCTATAACATGTTGTAGTTCTTCTGAATGCACACAGACTACATTATCATTTGCTTATTGGATTTCTATAAGATGTAGTTCTTCTGAATGCACACAAATTACGTTATCATCGGCATATTGGAGATGAAGTATCATAGTTATGAAGATGAAAAGCACAAACCCCAATGAAGTAAAAAAAAATTTTTTTAATGAAAGAAGATGACAATGACACTCTCTGCTTCATTCGAAAGAATGCTGCACTTGCAGAGCTCAGGCGGTGTTGTATTTCAGTGTCAATGTTGACTTTAGTGGAGATTAAATTTGTTTGTACAGTAAGCGCCATCCCGTCTTCACCACCACTGCTTTCTTTTGGTTGCTTCGTGTTGTGTTGTTTCCCCGCAGTTCCCTTTCTGCCCAAGTTTCCGCGTCAAAGAAAAAAAAAAGGACAACACACAAGAAAACTAAATTACAGTTCCTGATTGAATCCTCCTTCCAGTGCCGTGGCCTCATACATCCTATTAATATATTCAATCGCGGTCCCTTCTTTGCAAAGCCTTGTCTGGAAAGGGCAAACTTTGAGGGAGAAGAAAAGGAAGCTCATTCCCGAGAGAGACGGAATCTCGCCCTTGCGTGATATTTACATATTTTCTCTGCAGCGCGGCCTCCCCAGCGCTTGTGTTTATTAATACTGAAAAATGCATTTTTAATTATCCAACAGCTCCCCTCTCCCTTAATTTGAAGTGTGGATGATCATTGGAAGTTGGAAATTTGCTTCCCATTTAGTTAACTCTGGGTTCCCTTAATGCTGGACTACTACAATACTCGTTTGCTGGGGCTTCCCTGAAAATTCAACCCCTGATATCTTGCACTCCAGATCTTGCCTATCTAGGGATGATGGATTTTGTAGTTCATCAGATTGGGAATGGACTGGGTTGGGAAAATATAGTTCAAAATAATCGGCTGAAAGTCCGGAACCCAGAATATCCGCATGCTTTAGCTCGGTGTTTCTCAACCTTCCTAATGCTATGACTCCTTGATACAGTTCCTCACGTTGTGGTGACCCCCATAACACTATTTTCATTGCTACTTCACAACTGTAATTTTGCCCAGTTTATCTGTCCAAACATAACTCCCACTATGAACTGCCTAGGACCTTAAGATCATCTGGGGAGGTCCTTCTCGCTGTCCTCCCACCATCACAATTGCGGTTGGTGGGGACAAGAGACAGGGCCTTCTCTGCGGTGGCCCCTCGGCTATGGAATTCCCTCCCAAGTGAAATCAGATCCGGTCCTTCCCTCCTGACCTTCCTGAAAAAGGTGAAATCCTGGCAGTGGGATCAGGCCTTTACGGACTAGACTGACGTGATGGTAGAGCTATGGTTTAATGGACTCGAATGGACTGTGTGTAGGACAGTGATTTAATTCTGGCGATTGTTCTAATGTTTTACTATTTTTATGATGTTTTTCTAATGTTTTATACTTTTTATCTAAGATGTATATTTATGCTTTTGCTGTCAGCCGCCCTGAGTCCCTCTGCGGAGATTATGATAGGATGGGATATAAATGTCTGAAATAAATAAATATATAAATACCTGTTGTAAATCGTAATGTCAATATCTGAGATGCAGGATGTATTTACATTCACTGGACAACAAGTTAAACATAAGCCAACAATGTGATGCAGCGGCAAAAAAAGCCAATGGGATTTTGGCCTCCATCAAGAGGAGTCTAGTGTAATAATAATAATAATAATAATAATAATAATAATAATAATAGTGTCTAGATCCAGGGAAGTCATGCTCCCCATGCTCTGTTCTGCCTTGACCACACTTGGAATACTGTGTCCAGTGAAACTGTGACTTTTATTTCCTGTGCTGGTCTATGACTGAAATAAATGATTTGATTTGATTTGTGTCCAATTCTGGGCACCACAATTGAAGATAGATATTGACAAGCTGGAATGTGTCCAGAGGAGGGCGACTAAAATGATCAAGGGTCTGGAGAACAATCCCTATGAGGAGCGGCTTAAAGAGCTGGGCAAGTTTAGCCTGAGGAAGAGAAGGCTGAAAGGAGACATGATGATAGCCATGTATAAATATGTGAGAGGAAATCATAGGGAGGGGGNTCTATGATTCTATATACAACCAGCAGGAAAAACAGAAGTGGGGCTTGTTGTGGGCGGAGCTAAATCAAAAGAGGCGTGGCTCGCCCGGCCCAATAGGCGTGCTTAGGAGGCTATGCCCCGCCCCTTCTAACTCCTCCCCTTTCCCCTTGCCTTGGCTGTCATTTGGCGACAGGGAAGCAAAGAGAGAAGGTGGTTTGTTTGGATTGCTAGGCCGCAGATAGCAGGGTGAGTATTTGCAAGGAAATTAGGCCCCAAATAGCTCTGCACTGAGGAATGGAGGCAGTTTGACGCTGCTTTAACTGCCTTAGCTCAAGGTATGTTAGGGTACAATGATATGCTAACAGAGGCTGGATGGCCATCTGTTGGGGGTGCTTTGAATGCAATATTCCTGCTTCTTGGCAGAATGGGGTTGGACTGGATGGCCCACCAGGTCTCTTCCAACTCTAGGAGTCTAGGATTCCATCCTGGGAGTTGTAGTTTGGCATAATTTGGTAGAGAAGGCCAAAAGGCCTTGGGGAAACTACAACTCCCAAAGATCCACCTCATTGGAGAAGGCAGGGCTTGGAGAAGAGCAGTTTCCAGAATGATTGCAACACCCAGAATCCCCTGCCAGTCATTTGTATTGATACTATGTTAAAGGGGATTT